GTTGGTAATTGAACCTGGGTCTTCTGCAAGAACAGCCATGGCTCCTAACCACTGAGCCATCTCTCCAGCCAGCCAAACACACACACACACACACACACACACACACACACACACACACACACATCTTAATAGAATTACCAAGAATCAAAAGGAAGAATTTCAGAAAATAGCTTGAGGAAAAAATAGCTGTGCCACAGATGATCAAATATTTTTTAAAAACCCAAAGACTTTTCATAAGAAATTATGTAAAATAGATGACAGAGGTAGCAAGTGACCTCTGACAGTAGATGTGGCATCATTGGGGGGCAGCAGTACATGGTCATCTTACAAATGGCTGTGGTGTGAGATGTGGCTTCTTGGCTGGACCTGGAGGTATAAGTCAGGAGGATCAAGAGTTGCAAGCCAGCCTGGGCCACACAATGTGACCCTGTCTAAGAAAAGCTGTGACACTGTTTTGTACCTCAACCTGAGTGATCTGGGCTATGGTTTTTGTTAAGATCCTGACTCTATCCAGTCTTCTTTGTTCCTTCCCTGATTCTAAACTTGGTCCTGTACCCTCTGGGTATCTCTGGGAGATCCCAATTAGCCTTTTAATACATTTACTTTCTGCTTAGATCAGGCAAAAGTTTCTATAACAGACAACTATGAACTATTAAAAATCAAAAACAGGGAACATCTTGAAGTTATTTTCTACTCACCTTACCTTCTTATCAGCATTTCAACATAATGGGGTAAAATTAAACTTAGTAATTTTTCTAATGCATTATAGCAATCTCTGTCATCCAAATATACATATTTCTCTAAAGTTTTCCTTTAAAACCTCTTCCCCAGGCTGGGAACATAGCTCAGAATGAATAAGTTGATCCCCAGCACCACAAAAAGCAATAGGGAAAACCTCTTTCCAGCCCATGCCCTCCTCACCATTACTGTGCTTGAAATGTTTCTTGGCTGTAAGATAGAGAATTAGGATTGAGGGATGTGGTTCTGTGGTAGAGTACTTACCTAGACTGAATCATTTCCTACTCTTCTCATAGATTTGTATCTTAAAGCCCTAAATATTCAATGTAATTTTATTTGGAAATTGGACCATTATGGAGATAGTTGAGAACTAGTGCTCTTGTAAGAAGAGGCGAGAGCAGAGAGGTCTCTCTTCCCATGTAGGCAAAGAGGAAAGGGCATGGGAGGGCACTGTGAGAAGGCAACTGTCTACAAGGCTGAAGAAAATTCTAATCAAGAACCAATCTTACCCACACCTTGATCTTGGACCTCCAGCCACTAAAACTGTAGGAACATAAATTTTTGTTGTTCACACCACTATCTGTGACACTTATTTTATGGCTGCCCTAGCCTACTAATGCAGCTATTGATAATCTTAAGGTGGCTGGAATACAGCCCAGAGACAGCAGAGCCATGGAACAATCTTTTTTATAGATTTAAAAAATTGTTTATTTACCTATGTGTGTCTGTGTGGGAATATGGGCATATGCATCTTGTAAGTGCCCGGGGAGGCCAGAAGATGGTATCAGATCCCTTGAAGCTGGAGTTACAGGGAGTCATGAGCTGTCTGACATGGGTGCTGGGAATCAAACTCAAATCTTTTAGAACAGCAAATGCTCTTCACCACTAGGTCATTTCTCTAGATCCTACAACAATCCTAAAATCCATGAAACTCAAGTGTTGAGATCTCTCTGCCACTTTGAGTTTTGAGTAACCTGTCTTAAAACTAAAGTTTCAAGCCAGGCATGGTGGTGCCATGCCTTTAGTCCCAGCCCGCAGGAGGCAGGGGCAGGCTAGCCTGGTCTACAGAGCAAGTTCCAGGCCAGCTTGAGCTACAAGGAGACCCTGTGTCAAAATGACAAAAAAAAAAAAAAAAAAAACAAGTTTCAAAGCATGTAAAAGACCATTGACCTCCACTTAGCTTCAATTTTCTGACCATTTTTTCATGGCCTTGTGGATCAGTTCCTTCAGGCTGAAGTACTATACCATCAGCTCAGCCCCAGGCGAGCTAGCACACGGAGTCTTAACAGCTTCACTATTGTCTGAGAGAAATACAATAACTCATACTTTTGTGACTGTGCCAACTTTACTTATGTCTCTAGAGACTGTAGAAGAGAATGACACCATGTGCTGCATGGGTTTCTGCCTGGTTTCCTTTCTGAGGTTGCTCTAGTGTACAAGTTACTTTTCTCCTTGCTGGGATCAAATAACGGGCCAGAAGCAACTCAAGGAATAAAGGGTCTATTCTGACTCATGGTTTGAGAGATACAGGACTTCATGGCAGGGAAGGCATGGTGAAGGGAGTATGAGGCAGGTGATCACACTGCATCACAGTGAGGAAGCAGAGATGGATGCTGATGCTCCCCTGGCCTTCCTGCTCCTTTCCTTCCTTCTGTTCCATCTGGACACCTAGACCATGTTTAAGGTGGGTCTTCCCTCCTCAGCTAAAGTTGAGGGAAGGCCCTCATAGAAACATCCCGGGATGTACTTCCTAGGTGATTCTAAAATCCAATCAAGTTGACGAGGACAATTAACCATCATAACTGGCTTCAAAAATTAGTAATTCACCGTGTGGTTATTCTCACAGTCCTCTAAGAAATAAACTTCAGCTTCCTCACTCCTTTCCTGGGCCTATCTTGCTTCCTCTGCTCTTGAGATATCCTGCTGAACAAACATTTTCTATTTCAAACTCACTTGTCAACTCCTATTGCCCATATGCAGTGGGCATAAACTCCAGCCTATCATTTTAGGACCTACAAAATTTGGTTTCTGATTCTTCTAACATGCACAATCCACAATTAAAGCCCCATGAAACACTTCCAGCCCTCATGGGCATGGTAGCTACTCTGCCCTGGACTTAGGTGTCTAGCCCAATGGTATCAATTGCTGGTTTTCCTTGCTTTCTCACTGGTCTTATGGGACAGCCCTCCCTCTCAGAGACAGTTTCAGTTCTTTTTAACCTGGCACAAACTAAGTACCCAGTAATGTGATTCACGAACATATGAAGGCATGAACAAATAAATACCTATGCTTCAAATCTTCCAAGGGATTTCATGTTTATTTTGTTGTTGTTATTTACTTATTTATTGGTCTTTTTAGGACAGTGGTCTCCCCGTAGCCCTAGCTGGCCTGGAACTCTCTGTGTAGACCAGGCTGGCCTCAATATCACACAGATTTGCCTGCCTCTGCCTCGTGAGTGCTGGGATTAAAGGTTATTTCCCTCTTTTATCTTAAAACCCACATGTTCAGTAACAACGCACCATTATAAGCCTAACTACATAATTCATATCAGGAACAACATAACTTTTTTCCCACTGGTGCTTGTTTGGATTTTCAGAAAGAACTCAAGGACACAGAGGGACTGACTACAGTAGGACTCTGCTTTCCTGTGGTTCCTACCCCTGCAATTCCTCCATACACCCTCAGCTCTTATGAGAGGTATGAAGAGCAGCCTCTGTCTCCTCGAAAGCAATGGAGAAGGATGACGAAGAAAGAGGTGGAAGGCCTTTGACTTTACCTGCAGTAGCAGTGGTGGCTTCAAGCCACTTTTCTCTTTTGAGCTCTTTCTGCCTAGAAGGAAACATAGCACGTATCAATTCACAGGTCTCTTTTAAACAGACAATAATTTGAGGCAGTGGCCAGAAAAGAAGCGTTTTCCATCTAGATTTTCACCTGGGCAGAGGGCTTGTGCTTCACTAGACAAGAAATGATGGGAGGCAGAAGCAGGCAGATCTCTGTGAGTTGGAGGCCTGCCTGAGCTATATAGTGAGTTCCAGGCCAGCCAGGGCTATATAGTAAGACCCTGTCTCAAAGACAAGAAACAACAACAAAATAAATGATGGGGGTCTAAAGAATCACTGTCTCCTCTAACCTACATTTTTCTTTTGGGATGTTATTTCCCTCTTTCATCTTAAAACGCACAATCCTTTAGCATTTTCCCTGCAAGGATTCTCAAATGTCATTTTCTTTGGCAGACAGAAAAAGAAGTATGGCCTAGGAAGGGACAAAATTTTTTCTCAAAGTCAACCAGCAACTAAGAAGATAAGCCAGGGCTAAAGCCCAGTCTTCCTGGTCCATAAACTTGTTCTTTGAACCCTGCTCTGTCACTTGTTCTGGGCACCTTCAACCCATCCTCTCTTAACAATCACACTGAATCCATAGTGAATGATTGGCTAGGCTTCAGCAAGAGTCCTTACTTTGAAAATGTGTTAGGGAGGAGGAAGGGGTATATGAGGCTAAATGAGATGAGAGGGTCAGATCAGAAACCGATCTTGCCATCTAGAGTGTCAGAAGAAAATAACTAATTTCTTTTCTAATTCATGTAAGTACCTATCTATTACTTTTTAGGGGGAAAATTTCCATGTAAAATTATAAATGCGTACTTACCAGTGATAATAAAATATGGCACAAATGATAAATGCAGAAACAATAACCATGAAAACCCACATGAATGTGTAGTATCTTGGTGTCTGCAAAATATGAAATAGATCACAGTTAAAGAACTTTACGTTTGGAAAGCTAAATCCCTGGCTCTCCTACCCAGACTGGAAGAGGAGAAGAAGGGGAGCCAGATGAGAAGAAGAAGACAGAGAGACTACCTCCAGCTCTCCTAACAGTTACCCTCACGCATATGAGGGTTCAGCAAGGAATAAAACACTCCACACCTGTCATCCTCCTTGACTTTCAAGGCAGACACCTGAGGGAATCCCAGAGAAGCCTGACACATCAATCTGTTCTAGAACCAGGACTCCAGTCCAGGTTATGTGACCTCTTAGACTGTTTCTGTAACATGGCTTCCACATCCAGATCACTCTGGGCAGGTTTTAGTAGTGTAGTTTTCTAGGACTACCTACAGACTTAAGGAATGAAAATCTCCAGTTTTAACACTGGATTCCACTGGTAATGTGGAAGTAGCTAGGCTCTGAACCAGCATTTAGGAATCGCTGTTCTGAATCAACATTCTTCACATAAATATACTTAACTCTAATTCCCTTGACTTACACCCCCACATCTCCAGACTCTGCCCAAGCTAGCCCTTTGCCCAGAGCTCTCAGGAACTCTGCTTCCTGCATCTACACATGAATTTCATAAATTCCTGGTTCGAGTCTCCAATTCTATCTCCATTGCTCTGTTCCAGTTTTACTTGCTGCTGTTGGAGCTCGTGCTTTTCGTCTTTCTCAGGCCATTCTCCTAGGTGTGCCCCTCTGCTGAGTAATAGTATTAATAACCCCAGTAACTGTAACACTGATAATAGCAACTAACAACTAACAAGCATTTGCTAGAAGCCTGGCAAGAGCCCGAAACTACTTTAAGGTTATTTTTACATTTAATCATCACAGTAGCCCTACTATCACGGTTAATAGTATCAATTTGATTGGATCAAGGAGACAAGCCTCTGGGTATGCTGTGAGGGATTATCGTAAATTAACTGAGGTGGGAAGATGATCTCATTCAGGTGGCACCATTCCTTGGGCTTGGGTCTTGGTCTCATAAAAAGGAGAAAGCTAGCTAAGCCCAAGCATTCATCTCTCTCTGCTTCCTGACTGCAGATGCAGTGTGACCAGCTGTCTCATGCTTCTGTTGTCATGACTCCCCTGTCACAATGGACTGTATCCTCATGAACTGCAGGCCAAAATAAACCCTTCCTTCCCAACTTTCTTGTTGAATATTTGATCATAGCAATAAGAAAAATAATTAAGATACCTACTATACAGAAATTCTTTTTTAATTAAAAAAATTTTTTTTTGGTCTTTTTGAGACAGGGTCTCCCTATAGCCCCAGCTGTCCTGGAACTCACTAAGTAGACCAGGCTGGCTTTGAACTCACAGAGATCCACTTGCCTCTGCCTCCCAAGTGCTGGGATTAAAGGCGTGCGCCACCACACCTGGCAATTTTTAAAATTTTATTTATTATTTTTATTTCATGTGTATGAGTATATTGCCTGCATGTGTGTAAGTGTACCCATTTTGTGCAGTGCACAAGGATGTCAGAAGAGGGGTCGGATCCCCTGGAACCAGAGTTACAGATGTTCTTAGCCACCGTGTGATGCTGGGAAGCAAACCCGGGAGAGAGCAGCCAGTGCTCTTAACTGCTGAGTCATATCTCCAGCCCCCAGGAAGTACTTTTAAAACTTATGTCTTCTTATACTTTTGGAACTTTGAATCACATGAATTTATTATCAGTTCAAATACTGAAATGAAAAAGAATGCTTTCGGAAATAGTAGCATCATTTAAGGTGAAATTATACATTCCACAGGAACATGCTTGGGGCATTACTGATTCAGGGAGATGGGATTATGGAGGGTATTCACTTTCTACATTGAATATTTTCATAATGATTGAATCAAAAAGTTCATTGTTATGATCAATTTTTAAAAAACAAATCATACTGTTTGTATAAGGAAGCTTCACTGGTGAGAGTTAAGGGATGCACTAATTTTCTCTCTATCCCCTGGTCCTGCTATGTTCCATGAGCCTTAAGAATAGAGGTTCAACTGCAGTATGTCACCTAGGTTTAGGTATTTGTTCTCTGTGTGTGACCAGTTGTGGGATTCTGCAGTAGTTTCCAGAGTGTGATGTACATAGAAGGTCACAACTGTCCAAGTTTTAAAGAATAAGAGACTGCAGAGTATGTGTCCCTGGATAGGACTCCTACATTAAATGGCACCCACCCACAGCCCAGGGACCACTTTGGAAGAGGTGGGCAGAAAGATTGTAAGAGCCAGGGTTGGCTCATGAACATAGGGAAGCAGAGCCTTTCAGGCCACTGGAAGTTTACACATGAGAACTTGTGGCAATGGTGGCATTGAGCACAGGACCTATGCCAACTCAATCAGACAGGGGCCTAGAGTGGAGCAAGGGAAATGGGCAGTGGACCAGCCCTAGTCTGGGAATTGTTGGAGACTGATTACTACTGGGTGAGGGAGAGTAGACCTTACGATCTCTAGATAGGCTGACTAGACTCCAATGGATGAATTTACACCAAAGGACATCTTGGTACAAATGCTTGACTGGATAGAACTTAACATGTATGGCAGATCACATAAGGTCTGAGGTGGGAGACAGGGGTGGATGGGTAGGTGGGGTTTGGATGGGAAAGGGAGTGTCTAATTTGATTAAGAACTATTGTATGACATGTACAAAAGCACAATTAAAAATTTAGAACAAAAGAGAAAATGAAAATGCTAGGAAATGTTACTAAATCATACATATTAAGTAGCATTGTTTGGGGACAGGCAGGTGGAAAGGCTTCAGCTATGCTGAGGGACCTGCATCCAAAGTGTTTTTCATTATTATCTCCAGGAAATTGCTTGAGCCAACAGGGAATGAAGGAGCTAGTAATTCTACATTCCCATTTTAAGGCCTTCATGCAGTACTGGCCCTGTGAGATTATGTTGTTGAACCCTGATTCTCTGCCTCCCTTAAATGGGTCAAAAATTAGAGGCCACTGGGGGTGAAGTTATGAAAAAGGCAACCTAAAGCCCCTCTCCACTGAGACTTTCCTGCCTGAAGCTTAAAGTTAAATTGTTTATATATATACATATATATATATATGCATGTGTGTATGTGTGTGTGTACATATATGTATAGGGTCTTTTTGAGACAGGGTCTCCCTGTAGCCCCAGCTGGCCTGAAACTTGCTATATAGACCAGGCTGGCCTTGAACTCACAGAGATTTGCCTGCCTCTGCTTCCTGAGTGCTGGGATTAAAGGCATGCACCACCACGTCTGGCTTGTTTTATTTTATTTTTAAAGAATTGTGTGTGTGTGTGTGTGTGTGTGTGTGTGTGTGTGTGTGTACCACATGTACACAGATGTCCACAGAGGGCAGAGGAGGGCATCAAATCCCCTCGAATTAACAGGTGGTTGTGAGCGGCCTGGCATAGGTGCTGGGAACAGAACTTGAGTCTTCTGCAAAAACAAGAAGCACCCTTAACCGCTGAGCCATCTCTCTGGCCTTTAAAATGTTTTCTAGTATGGCATGACAGAGTGAGTCTATAGTCTCAGCTACTTGGGAAACTGAGGCAGGAGGATAGCTTGAGCCCAGGGTTTTGAGAGTGGTGTAACATAGTGAGGCTCTCAAAAAGCAAACCAACCTGTTCTGTTGCATGCTACTCTATCCAGATAAGAAACTCAGGCTTTGTTGCAATAACTAGCTAGCTCAGGTTCTAAATAACAGGATTTAGCTGTGACTGCAAATCAGAACTTCAGGTTCACCAAGTCCCTCAGAGCGAGGAACAGATGGGCTAAAACAGGACACCAGACACCTCTGTGGTGTGTGTGTGTGTGTGCGAGTGTGTGTGTGTGTGTGTGTGTGTGCGCGCGCACACACACACACGCCTGCGGATGTGCGGGCATGCGCAATAACAAAGCTCTGGGGTCCAACCTCACTGCAAATCTTACATCATGAGACCATGTACCAAGATACCTATGAGCTGATTATTATTTCAGACCAAGAAAGACAGGATATTGTTTAGGTTATTTTCCCTTGGGTGGGCAAGAAGCATGGCTGCAGTGTCTGGGTGGCAATATTCCTTTCTGTGGTCAGCTATTTCTAAAAGGAAAACAAACTTCAAGGGGGAACCAAGTTACTGGAACTAAGTTCAGATCTTGAGCTGGCTGTTTCTCTGATTTTTTTAAAATTTATTATTTATTTTATTTTGTGTGTGTGTGTGTGTGTGTGTGTGTAAAGCCTGTATGTAAGTGCATCTGTGTTGCGCAATGCCTGCAGAGGACAGAAGAAGCCATCAGATCCCCGGGAACTGGTGTTACAGTCAGTTGTTAGCTGCGATGCGGGTGCTGGGATTCAAACCCAGGTCTTCTGCAAGAACTGCCAGTGTTTTTAACTGCTCTGCCATCTCTCTGGTGGCTACTTTGTACAAAATGAAGTTGCTCTAGTCATTACAATAATAGTATCCAATTCAGGGTGTGTATGTGTAAATTATGCACAGAATGTAAAGCACACTATAAGGATTCAGTTAAAAAAACAAAAGGATTTGGGTGAAAGAACAGAAAAGGACAAACCACCAGCGCTCACAGGTGTCACTGTTCTGAAGTAGGCTAACAAGGTGCTGCATTCAGGGCAGCATACGGGTGGGGGACACAGACCACAACTGTACCAGACCTAAAATTATTTGGACAAGCAGCTCACCATGAAGAAAAGAGGGCGATTAATCCGTCTCAGGAGTGCAATGTTGTCTGTGGTCACGGAGTTGATTCTGGAGCACCAGGCCAGTGAGAAGAGCCAAGGCTCGTTGACAAGGTATAAGTTGATATAGATGTTAGCTGCCTTATAATCTCTGGAACGAAAACAAAGCCCACAAAGGATTTCAGCCCAGTTTTACTCTCAATACCTATTTGTGAAAAGCTGCTGTCTCACCAGAAGCAGTTGGTCCAAGGATAGCCCACAGAATGGGCTCATGCAGTAAGGTAAGGGTTGTGTCTGGTGACTCTGCTCCTGTAGTACCAATGGGGTACTAGGAAAGGAGATGTCCTGAGGGGGACTTAGCAAAAGAAAGAGAGAAAGAATGAGGAGAACAATTAGAAAATTCCCATTTACATCCCCATCTACAAATTTGTAATTATTCCTGCCATAGTCAATTTCAAGCTGCTGCTGAGAAAACCAATTTGTGAAGTCCCTAGATCTTTAATAGTTGGCTTCTACAAGCTGAAATCAGTCACCTCTGGCACAGTAGCCTGCACTCCTTGCACTAGCTTCCATTCTAACACTTCCCACCCTGACTCTAAGGACCTGCTCACCTACCCATCTTTTTTGGTTATAAGCAAGTTAAATCAGAAACTCTCATTCTTCTTTGTGTATCCAGATCTAGTAGAGAAACTGGCTCCATAAATATTCACTGAAAGAACAAAATAAACACCAAATGGCATTTTAAAATTTAAAGAATTATTACAATAATTGGGTAGGAGAAATAAAATCCAGCTTTTCCCAAGGCACTAAATGTCAGTGGATACCTCTGCACTATCTACAGAGACAGTAAGAAAAGTAGTGAAGGCAGGCCTAGCAACTCCAGACTACTTTTCATTTCTAGGAATTCAAGTTCTTAGAAAACATGCCATGCAAGTGTCTTTAAATAACAATGATATTACTACACACCTACCAGAACAGATAAAATTTAAAAGCAACAACACTAAAAACTGTCAAGGATGCAGAAACTCTGGGTCATCCTACAATGTTGGCAGGAATGTAAAATGGTAAATAGCCTTCCTGAAATGGTTTGGCAGTCAGTCTCTTATAAAATGAAATATTCAATTACCATACCCCAGAATTCAAAATCTTAGGTATCTATCCCTGAGAAATAGTCATGTTTACATAAAAAACCTGTACAGTTTTCTGCCTCTGCTGCAGCCATGGTGCCAGTGAATGAATAAGCTTGTGATGAATGGGGGCAAAAAGAGAGGAAGCAATCAGGCATGGTCATGCATGCCTTTAATCCCAGCAAGGGAGCTCAGGAGATGGGGTCAGCCTGTTCTACATAGCAAGTTCCAGGCCAGCCAGAGCTACATGGTGAGACCTTGATTCAAAAAACAAAAACAAGGGTGTGGTGGCATACACCTTTAATCCCAGCACTTGGGAGGCAGAAGCAGGCAGATCTCTGTGAGTTTGAGGCCAGCCTGGTCTCCATAGGGAGTTCCAGGCCAGCTGGGGCTACAGGAAGACCCTGTCTCAAAAAAAAAAAAAAAAGAGGAAGCAGGTTTTGAGGTTCACCCTTGACTGCACCCTGTAGAAGATGGAATCATGGATGCTGTCAATTTTGAGCAGTTTCTCCAGGAGAGAATCAAAATGAATGGAAAAGCTGAACATTTTGGAGAAGCTGTAACCATCAAAAGGAACAGGTACAAGACCACTGTAACTTCCCAGGTGCCTTTATTCTAAAGGGTATTTGAAAGATCTCACCAAAAAATATTTGAAGAACAATTATCTATATGGTTGGTTACACATAGTTGCTAAGAGAAAAGAAAGGCACAAATTATATTACTTCCAGATTAACTAGGATGAAGAGGAGGAAGATGAGATTTAAAACACAATGATCTGGAATATTTTATATGAATTCATAAGTCAAATTTAGGAAAAAAAAAACTTGTATACAAAAGGCTTTATATGTAATACATGATGGAAATAACCAGATATCCTTCAGTTGGTAACTGAGTAAATAAACTTTGGACTGTAGATACCATGTAACATTATTCAGCAACAAAAATGAACAAATTATGTATAAATTAAACAATTTAAATGAAGTTTGAGAGAATTATGTTCAGTGAAAAAAATAAGTCAATCTCAAAAAGATATATGTGAGTTTGCTCATTCTTGAAATAACATCACAGACATTTTGTCAAGGGTTAGGATTTTAGGCAGGGGAGAAGAGGATGGAAGGGAAACTGCTGGAGAGCTTCAGTGTCAACCTGACACCTGGGTGGAGGGAATCTCAATTGAGGAAATTCCTCCACTGCATTGGCCTGTGGCCATGTTTGTGGTGCATTTTCTTGATTGTTGAGTGATGTGGGAGGGCCCAGCCTATTGTGGGTGATGTCACCCCTGGTCAGGTAGTCTTGTACTATATAAGAAAGCAGTCTGAGGCCAGGTCAGAGGAACAAGCCAATAAACAGCACATCTCCATGGTCTGTGCTCCATATCCTGCCTTGAGTTTCTGCCTTGGCTTCCTTTGATGATAGACTGTGCTTGTAAGCTAAATAAATCCTTTTGTCCCCAAGTTGGTTTTGGTCATTGTTTTCATCACAGCAATAGAAAGTAACTAGAGCAGTAACACAAGGGATACTGCTGATGACAGAACTGGTCAGTATCTTGGCTATAGTGTTGGATCTATATACTTATAGTCATGACAAGATTGCAGAGACTCACACCCACATATGCATGAATGCACATAGTGTGCATAAAACATGCATTATAAATACTGATTTTTCATAAAGGAGCCAAGAATACACAATAGGGACAAGGTAGCAGCTTCAATAAATGGTGATGGGAAAACTGCCCATCCACATGTAGATGAGTTAAATTAGATCCTTCTCTCCTCCATATGAAAATCAACTCAAAATGAGTTAAAGATTTAAATGTACCTGTCCATTTCTTTTTGGTTTTCAAATTTAGTAGCATATAGATTTTTTTATTTTTGGTCTTTTTGAGACAGTGTCTCCCTGTAGCTTCAGCTGTCCTGGAGCTCACTATGTAGATCAGGCTGGCCTTGAACTCACAGAGATCTGCCTGCCTCTGCCTCCCGAGTGCTGGGATTAAAGGCATGTGCCACCACGCCAGGCTGCATATAGGTTTTTAAAGTATACCCTAATGTTCTGGATCTTTTTGGTGTCTGTTGTGATGTTTCCCCTTTCATTGCTGATTGTTGATTTGGAGGTGCTCTTTATTTCTTTTGGTTAACTGGGCTAGCAGTCTATCAATCTTGTTTATCTTCTCAAAGAATCAGGTCTTAAATTCATTGATTCTTTGTATTGTTTTCTATGTTTCGATTTCATTAATTTCTACCTGATTTTTGTTATTTCTTCTTGTCTGCTGGGTTTGGGTTTCATTTGTTGTTGCTTTTCAAGTGTCTTGAGTTGTAATGTTAAGTCATTTATTTGTGTTCTTTCCGATTTTTTTAATGTAGGCACTTAGATCTATAAACTTCCCTGTAAGGAATGCTTTCAGTGTGTCCCAGAGGTTTTGTTGTGTTGTACTGTCCTTTTTGTTTAGTTCCAGGAATACTTTTATTTCTTAAGTTCTCCTTTGACCCATTCATCATTCAGGAGTGTGTTGTTTAATCTCCATGTGTTCATGTGGTTACTGGGGTTTCTTCCGGTGTTGATTTTAAGCTTCATTGCATTGTGGTTTGATAGAATGCATTGAATTATTTCAGTCTTTCTGTATTTGTTGAGCTTTGTTTTGTGCCCAGTACATGGTCAATTTTGGAGAGGGTTACATGGGGCACTGAATAGAAAGTATATTATTTGGTGCTTGGGTGGAAAATTTGGTAGATGTCTGTTAGGTCCATTTGATATATGGTATTGATCAATTCAGATGTCTCTCTGTTAATTCACTGTCCTGTTGACCTATCTAATGGCAACAATGGGGTATTGAAGTCCCCTACTATTAATGAGTTGGGATTAATCCGGGTCTTAAAGTCCTGTAGTAATGGGTACCTAAAAGCATGGGAACCACCAAAACTAAGCCAAGAAGAGATTAACAGCTCAAACAGACCCATAACACATAAGGAAATTGAAACAGTAATACAAAACCTTCTGACTAAAAAAAGCCCAGGACCAGATGGATTTACAGCAGAATTCAACCAGACATTTAAAGAGGATCCATATCCAATACTACTTAAGTTATTCAAAAAGATAGAAATGGAGGGAGAACTTCCAAATTCCTTCTGTGAAGCCAGCATCACTCTAATACCAAAGCCAGGTAAAGATACAACCAAAAAAGAAAACTATAGACCCATATCCTTAATGAACATAGATGCAAAAATTCTCAACAAGATACTTGCAAACCGCATACAGACACACATCAAAAAGATCATCCACCATGATCAAGTCGGCTTTATCCCAGAGACACAGGGATGGTTCAATATACGTAAGTCAATAAATGTCATAAATCATATAAATAGGCTCAAAGACAAGAACCACATGGTCATCTCAATATGCAGATAAGGCCTTTGACAAAATTCAACATGCATTTAAGTTCAAAGTCTGAGCATGCATTTATGTTCAAAGTCTTAGAGGGAATTGGATTGGACGGAACATACCTCAACATAATTAAAGCTATATACAATAAGCCCACAGCCAACATCATTCTAAATGGAGAAAAACTGGAATCATTCCCATTAAAATCAGGAACCAGACGAGGTTGTTCAGTCTCTCGACTCCTTTTTAACATGGTGCTTGAAACTCTTGCAAGAGCAATGAGACAAGAGAAGTAAATTAAAGGAGTAATAATTGGAAAAGAAGAGATTAAATTATCCCTTTTTGCAGATGATATGATATTATATTTAAGAGACGCCAAAAATTCCACCAGAAAACTCCTAGCAATTATTAACACATTCAGTAAAGTGGCAGGTTACACAATTAATCTACAAAAGTCTGTAGCCTTTCTATATACCAATAACAAACAATCAGATAAAGAGCACATGGAAACACTCCTGTTCACAACAGCTGCAAATAAACCTGACCAAAGAAAATAAAGACCTATACAACGAAAATTTTAAATCTTTAAAGAAAGAGATTGAGGAAGACATCAGAAGATGCTCATGGATTTGAAGAATTAATATTGTGA